CACAGCAAGTTGTGAGAAGGATGTGGAGCTATTTTATAGACCTCATCAAGTCAGGGTGATTCATTCTGCCAATCTCCTGACATCCGGCGAGCACTTCTATTACTCTCGCCACCCTTGAGACAGACTGAAAAATCATGGCACTTCCTGTCAAAAGAAACAAATTAAGTCCAGTGAAAGTCAGATTTTTCAAGAGCCTCACATTCAAATTCACAGCTGCAGGTTTTGCTTCATATCTTCCAAAAGCCATGCACTCTCTACTTTCTTCTGGCACTTACATCCATCTCAAAGAATAAACAGTGCAGTCCTGGGGTCGTAAATCAGGAAATTTGAAATAAGGAAAGTAAGAGACAGTGATCCCTCCTGAGAAAACATGCTCACTGACATCCGTGTGATCTCAAGTGCGACCTTGGTGTGTCTCAAGACATCTACAACAGCATGTAGACTGTGGTGCTGAGGGTAGAACATCACATGCTGGAGCACTCGATGGTGCGCTGGCAGTCTGCCCAGACAAGTGTACTGCCTTTTTCAGCTGGTCACAGTGACATTATAAGCAGACTCTAGGTCTTTTCCAAGCCTGCAGACTGGCATCAAGGTTATATGGAATTCCGATTTTTCCGATTTCTTTTTAGAAAGAAGTCCCTTATGCTCACCAAGGCAGCATTTATTTGATCAAAAATACAGTAAAAACTGTAATGTTGTGAAATATTACTACAGTTAAAATAACTGCTTTCTATTTGTTTCTATATGTTTTAAAATGTAATTTATTTCTGTGATGCAAAGCTGAATTATCAGCAGCCATTACTCAGTCTTCAGTGTCACATGATCCAGAAATCACTTCAAAAGAACAGCATTTATTTTAAAAATAGAAATCATTTGTAACATTATAAATGTATTTTGATCAATTTAATGTGCCCTTGTATTACTATCTTTCTTTCTTTTTCTCTTACACAGTCTTACACAAAACTGGTAATGCACTGTAGTGTAGTGATGGTAGTGTACCATGGTTTCCACAGAAATATTAAGCAGCAAAACATCGATTTCAAAATGCATGATAATAATATGAAATGTTTCTTAAGCACTAAATTAGCATTTTAGAATGATTTCTGAAGGATCATGTGACACTGAAGACTGGAGTAATGATGCTAAAAATTCAGCTTTGCCATCACAGGAATAAATTACATTTTTAAACATATTCTAATAGTAAACAGTGATTTTTAATTGTAAAAAAAGTATTATACTAATGCTTTAATTTTAAAGTATTTTTCATCAAATAAATGCAGCCTTGGTAAGCTCTCTCTTTCAAAAATAAAAAATAAAATTTCCAAACTTTTGACCACTAGTGTAATTTAGCATTTTCTGATGCAAGTTTTGGTGATGTGTTTAGAAATGATCTGGAGGTCTTATCCTATGCTTTTTACCCCAGGTATGTCCATGCCTTATATCTGGGCGTGCAAAGCCGCTGGCGTGGGGACCATGAGCACAAACACTTCTACTGGCGTACGATGTTTGAGAATGCTGACATCAGCATGCTGAGGTTGCTTGAGACCTTCCTGAAGAGCGCACCTCAGCTCGTTCTGCAACTCAGCATTATGGTCCAGTCCGGCCAGGTCCTCCCTTTGCAGGGTAAGTTGATGACACCTCTGATTAAAAACAGCTCACCAAGTATGCTAGAAGAAGTTGGGCCTGTGCTATTTGTCTGTATCATATGCATTATATTCATATTTCATCAATAGTTTTGAGCCAGACAGTGACAGTAATTTTTAATCACTAAGAACCACCCACTTAGACAAGAAGATATAAGATATAGAAGATAAAAATATAAAGCTACCAATCACAGTTTGTTTTGTCTTTATGGGCACAGCTTCATAATCAGACTTCAAAAGGTAGAAGTATTGAATGTAACATTTTTCTAACATAATTTACTATTTTAATGTTTGACGTCAGTAAAAGATTTTAATGTTTTTGAAAGACCCTTATAATCACCAAGACTACATTTATTTGATAATAAATGTAAATACAGGTAAAACATTAATATTGTGAAATTGTATAACAATTTTAAATAACATATTATTACATAATGTGTTCAAATGAAATTTATTCCTGTGATGAATTTTCAGCATCATTATTCCAGTCTTCAGTGTCACATGATCCTTCACTAATCACTCTAATATGCTGATTTGCTGCTCAAGAAACAATTATTATTATTATCATTGTTGAAAATAGTTGTGCTACTTAATATTTTTGTTGAAACCATGATGCCTTTTTTCAGAATAAAACATTTTTACTGTCACTTTTGTAACTACAGAAAACAACAAAGAATAATATACACTTCTGTTTTGAAATGTCTTTCTTTGGAAATATTAAACATCTTTCAAAGTTTTGATGCCACTAACTTTGCAGACTTTTATAAATGCAGAGATTAGATAGTTCTTCAAAAGTCTTGTTAGCAGCACTTTTTTCAGAAATATTGATGAGACAGCCTGTGCCTTTACTACCAGAATTTGCACAACGCCAGCCAATCAGATTAGAACTGATGATTTCAACCTATTTTTTGAGTGCACTATACATCAGACGGTCAGAAAACGTGCTATGGGTGGACTGTGGGCGTACTGTCTGAGACTGAGAGACTACTACATCAGCCACCCAATCTGTCATACTGCTATCCACCAGGTCACAGAGTACAGAGTTTGATTCAGTGTCTTTCTTGCAGTGTGATTTCTGTATTGCATCTAATTTAAATGTGACACAATAAGAATTGTTTTAGAAATTCATTTGGCCATCATTAAGGATCAAAGTGCAATTTCACAGCATGCATTTGCTCCGCATCTCATTTTCAATCCAAGAGCAAATTAGCTGGTAAATTACTGAGGATGTGATAAGTGTGACTGAATATGAAAGACCACGGGTTGCATGCATACATATTTCAGGTCATTGTGCATGAAAATTTAAGCACTTTCATTAATGATTAAACTATCCAACAGCAGTTAAGATGCTTTTTTCTCATTGTTCCTTGGAAGAGTGCACTCCAAATTTGCAATGAGTAATCATAAAGAGATATATAATTGAACATGAAAATGACAGTAATCAAAGGATCATTTAGAATATTACCCAATTAGATATTCATGTCAGTGTCTTCATAATGGTGACATGTTAAAATCATCTTTAATTGTGTAGTTTAATTACTTCAGTCTATCTTTGGCTCTGTCAGAAGGGAACGGCACATGTGGTAGTTACAAACCCACCTGACAGGTGCCTTTGATTACAGAGCTGCGAGAACTCACTGTTGCATTAGTTCAGCTCCATGGGAACAATTGTCGCCACTGTTAGATGTTCCCTGAGGAATTTTATCCAAATGTCAAACCACAAACTGTGACTTTTATAGAGCGCCCAGAGCTAGTTAACTAAAGGATGTGATTTTTGTTTAAAAAATGTAATTTCATGTGACATCCTTCTTTCTTTCCATGCCATTCGGACTAGAGTTTAGAGAGCTGCAGTATTTACTCTGTGGCAGCCCTACTCATATTACATTTATTCAGACTGCTGAAGGCCTCTTTTTCCAGAAAGATTAAAAATGAACCTGAGGAGAGCCAAAATGTGATTCCACAACAAAGCATATCCAGTTCTCAGGAGATGAGCAGGGCACAGTCAGCAGTGTAGAGAATTCTGGCATCAGTGCAAGAGTGTTTCCTTTTGGTCTGTCCTGACCTGCACTTTTCCGGTCTGAAGACTGATATTATGATTAAAGTGCTTTACTGAGTCTGTCATAATCGCTCATAATCATATTCAGTGCAATGCGAGACGGCTGGAGAACTAGCTAATGATTATGTTTTTGCTGATTAGGAGAGATTTTCCGTTTTGACTGCTCCTGACTAAATGGGTGAGCTGATGAATGGCCAGACAGGAACCTGATTAAATATTCATGAGAGCTTCTCGAGAGCGTACCAGTACTCAAACAGAATTTCATTTTTTTCCTGAGAGGGATGGTGAGGTGTACTGTCATTCTTCATATACTGTACAGACTCATCTGAATGGTTACACATTGGTATAGGTTTTGATTTGAAATAAACAAAGTATAAACCTTGCCTCTGTAGGTTTTGATTTGAAATGAATTTAAAGTATTTTATTGCTAAAGTATTCAATTTGTCTCTAATGTGTCTTGTAAAATTCCTTAAAAGAAATTAAAAAAGAAAGAAATTTTTATTATATTTATATTTTAAATAAATCTTTAAAATATAATGGGAGGGCGACCTCTGGTGGCAAGCGGACGGAATGGGAGGAGTTGTCACCAATAGCCTCGTGGGCAGCGCGTCGACATTCGAGTCCCAGCTCGCAGACCTTTCCTGATCCCATCCCCCCTTTCTCTCCCACTTCACTTTCTGTCTCACTACTATCCTATCAATAAAAGGCAAAAACGCCAAAAATAAATCTTTAAAATATAATGGGAGGGCGACCTCTGGTGGCAAGCGGACGGAAGTTCATGGACAGGATTCGTGCCGATGACAATGAAAGATACACTTTAAAATTAATAGAAAGTAAATATTGTCCACATAATATTATAAAATAATATTATATAATAAAAAATAATAATAAAAATAATTTATAATAAAAGTCTAAATAAGTATTTTTATATTATTTAATATAATTCATTATTTATAGTTACTGGATATTTATTATTTTATACACATTTACTCTAATGTGTCTTGTAAAATTCCTTAAAAGAAATTAAAAAAGAAAGAAATTCAACGATTTTTGGCATGGCCTAAGTGGATAGTAGCTATAAAATGAATCACAATTATTTATTCCTTTTGGCAGCCTAAGTTTTAACAGTTGGTAATAAAGCCAAATCTGTGTTGTTGTTTTTTTACGTTATAGCTATAGCTTACATTACTATAATAATGGGCTAAAAAACTAAATAGGTTACGCTTTAATTCAAGGTGTCCTTGTAATGCATTTAAGTACTGAGTTAAATATTAATTAACTATGTACTTACTATATGGTTAGGGTTAGGATTAGGGTTACTTGCATGTACACTCTTAAAAATAAAGGTGCTTCACAATGCCATAGAAGAACCTTTTTGTCTAAATGGTTCCATAAAGAACCTTTAACATCTGAAGAACCTTTCTGTTTCACAAAAGGTTCTTTGTGGCAAAATAAGGTTCTTCAGATTATAAAAAGGTAAGAAAGAGATGGTTCTTTAAAGAACCTTTGACTGAATGATTCTTTTTGGAACCAAAAATGGTTCTTCTATGGCATCGCTGTGAAGAACCTTTTAAGCACCTTTATTTTTAAGAGTGTAATTATACTACCACTAATTACAGTCAGGCAGCCATATCACCCTGTAGCCCAAGACTGGTTACCTACTGAAGCTGAGCAGGGCCGAGCCTGGTCAGTACCTGGATGGGAGACCTCCTGGGAAAACTAGGTTGCTGCTGGAAGAGGTGTTAGTGAGGCCAGCAGGGGGTGCTCACCCTGTGGTCTGTGTGGGTCCTAACGCCCCAGTATATTGACGGGGACACTATACTGTCAAAAAGCACTGTCCTTCGGATGAGACGTTAAACCGAGGTCCTGACTCTCTGTGGTCATTAAAAAATCCCAGGATGTCTTTCGAAAAGAGTAGAGGTGTGACCTCAGCATCCTGGCCAAATTTGCCTATTGGCCACTGATCATCATAGCCTCCTAACAATCCCCATATCTGCTGATTGGCTTCATCACTCTGTCTCCTCTCCACCAATAAGTTGGTGTGTGGTGTGCGTTCTGGTGCACTTTGGCTGCCGGCGCATCATCCAGGTGGATGCTGCACACTGGTGGTGGATGAGGAGATACCCCTGACAATGTAAAGAGCTTTGAGTGCCTAGAAAAGCGCTATATAAATGTAATGAATTATTATTATTATTATGAATAATTCATTGTTATTATAGTAGTAAGTACATGTAACATGTAACAAGGACACCTTAAAATAAAGTGTTAACACAAAATATTGTCCACATATTTTAATTCAATTTTACTTTAGTACAATAAAAATAAAAGATTTGTCAAATAACAAGAACAACAATAATATTAGTATTTCAAAAACATTATTATTATTATATATGATTTTTAATGATTTTTAAAATTGTATTATTAACATTTTGATATTATATTTTATAGACCATGCAGTGTTAAACAATAGCCAAGTAGCTACTTGAGGCATACCTCCCCAAATATGTAATTTACATGTAAAATACATTAATCAAATGGATGGTCATTTAGAATATTGCCTCATAAATTGTTAAAAGTTATCTAATGTTCCCATGACTGTTACGGGACAAAAGAGCCATGAGACGTGCGGATCCATTTGCAAGCTTTATTTAGAAGACGTGGTCAGAAACAAGCATGGGTCAGACAATGGCAAACTGGTATGTAGAAGACAAGGCAAGAGCAGTCCGGTAAACAAGCGAGGGTCAGTCGACGGCGAACGTAATTCAACAGGGCGAGACTAGAGGGATAATCCAGGTACAAGGCAAAGGTCCAGGCAGGGGCAAACAGTATCTGAACAGGACAAGACAAGAGGGGTAATCCAAGATACACAGGCAATGATCAGAACACGAGAAAACCGCAAAGCAAGACTCAGATAAGGCTAGGAAAACTAAAGCAGGCTCCATAAGGTAGCTATCAGCTAAACAGTGATATACGCTAAACAATACTCGGCGTTGAATGGTGGTGTGAGACTGATTTATATAGTGTGTGTTATTGGTAGCAGCTGTATGTGACTGGTTTCAGGAGAGCTTGTGATTAGTGCAATGGAGCATGGGAAATATAGTCCAGGGTGATGTGTAACAGTCTGTGTGGTGTGAGAGTCAATATAATGGGAGGAGTTGTCACCAATAGCCTCGTGGGCAGCGCGTCGACATTCGAGTCCCAGCTCGCAGACCTTTCCTGATCCCATCCCCCCTTTCTCTCCCATTTCACTTTCTGTCTCACTACTATCCTATCAATAAAAGGCAAAAACGCCAAAAATAAATCTTTAAAATATAATGGGAGGGCGACCTCTGGTGGCAAGCGGACGGAAGTTCATGGACAGGATTCGTGACGATGACAATGAAAGATACACTTTAAAATTAATAGAAAGTAAATATTGTCCACATAATATTATAAAATAATATTATATAATAAAAAATAATAATAAAAATAATTTATAATAAAAGTCTAAATAAGTATTTTTATATTATTTAATATAATTCATTATTTATAGTTACTGGATATTTATTATTTTATAGACCATGCGGTTTTAACCAATAGCCAAGTAGCTACTTAGATGTCCTCCCTAGTACACTGAAACTCCATCTAACTATCCAAGAACCCAACTCATACTTACTCCAGCAGTGTAATTAAATTTAATTAATGTACCATGTAAAGTGACCTATTTTCTCTCTGTCACTCTTTCTCATTGTGCTTCATTTGATCCAGGTCTGTCTGCGTCTGCCTCTCTAGTGTCTCTGGGCTGGATGATGGCATCTTATCAGAAGGCATTACGGGACTCTCGTGATGACAAGCTCCCAATGTCGTATAAAGCTGTGGTGGTGAACATGCTGTGGCACCTGTTCACAGTGGGAGCCCGCGCCATGGCCTTCGCCCTCTTCATTTCCATTTCCCAGCTCTACTTCGGCATTTTCATCATGGCCCACTGGTGCGCCATGACCTTCTGGATCATCCGAGGTGAGACAGACTTCTGCATGTCCAAGTGGGAGGAGATCATCTACAACATGATGGTGGGCATCGTGTACATATTCTGCTGGTTCAGTGTCCGTGAGGGCCCTACGCGGTGCCGTCTGCTTCTTTACAGCCTCATAATCCTGGGTGAAAATGTGGCCCTCACTGCAGTGTGGTACATATACCGCAGCCAGCGCTCTGCAGACTTTTATGCCGTGGTGGTGGTGTGCGTGGTGGCCTGTAGCTACGCCCTGGGCACATTTTTTATGTTTGTCTACTACTGCCTGTTGCACCCTGACGGCCCTGTGTCTGGGACCTATATTGGATGTTGCGACGTCCAGGTGGGTGCTGTTTCAGATCCTTGTGTCTCATCTACCACCTCCGCTCCTCCTCCTCTGGATGCGGTGAGCAGCCCGCCGCGGACTCTGCAGAGGACTAAAGGAGGAGAGTCAGTACCAGGAGGAGACGTTGGAGAAGTGTTTAAGATGCGGACCCTTAAGGCCTCGCGAACTGCCGCGCCTCACCGCACCCCAAGGACAGAGGGGCCGGTAATTCGTATCGACCTTCCCAGGAAGCAGTACCCAGCCTGGGACGCCCACTTCATTGATCGCAGGCTGCGAAAGACCATTTTGGTGCTAGAAGCCGCTTCTCCGGTCACACCGAGGATCCAGTACCGCTGTCTAGGCACACTGAAGGAAGTGATGGAATATGAGACGACAGTCTGAAATGTTTTATGTGTTAGTGTGCAGAAAAGTCAGTTGCGTCCAGCTTTATTTGGTGAAGAGGAAGAGTTTGTCAGATCTCCACATGACCCCTTATTGACTCTTGTCATCAGTGGAAGCACATGATTCACTAGAGTCTAGAAAAGAGCCACCCTGTGGTGACTTTAAACATTACTATAGGTTATTGAGTTAGGAGGTTAGGCAGGGGTCTGACCAAATGAATGAAAGAAAGCAGTGAGGCCAGGGTAAATCTGTAATGAGCAAAACAACATATCAGTGTGGTACATTAACAGCAATGGTGCTTAAACACATCCTAAACACCGTTTCAGACCATCCTAGGTGTTTTTATATCTCTCGTGGCAGCTGCCGTAAACAAAAAATACTGAATCCACTTGGTCGTAATTCTGTGGGTATTGAGGTTGTAGTAGGTGCAAGTAAAATTTGTGAGTTGTCTCATTAAAGGCCTTAAGACTTTCTTACATTTTACTATTTAGCATCTGAAAGGTGCATTTCAGTCTGTTTAAACATTAGTGAATATATGAAAACAGTTTGTGTGTTAGATAATTGAAGGGTTGATCTTCTGATAACATCTAGGCATTTTATTAAGCACAGAATAGGTTGCCTTCAAGAACAGGGATCAGACTTTGCAAGAAACACTCTTTAAGTTTAAAAAAAGAAACTGTTCACAGTTATCAAGGTCTCTTTTCAAGACATTTCCGCATACCTTTCAAGTGAAAAATTGCATATCACTGAAAAATGTGTCTTTTTTTTTTTTAAATGTCAAGATGGAAATAATGGGTCTGATGCTGAAAAATGTGCACCTATAAAGATAATTGAATGAATGTTCATCTCAAGGACAAAGAACAGGCCTTAAGACTTTCTTACATTTTACTATTTAGCATCTGAAAGGTGCATTTCAGTCTGTTTAAACATTAGTGAATATATGAAAACAGTTTGTGTGTTAGATAATTGAAGGGTTGATCTTCTGATAACATCTAGGCATTTTATTAAGCACAGAATAGGTTGCCTTCAAGAACAGGGATCAGACTTTGCAAGAAACACTCTTTAAGTTTAAAAAAAGAAACTGTTCACAGTTATCAAGGTCTCTTTTCAAGACATTTCCGCATACCTTTCAAGTGAAAAATTGCATATCACTGAAAAATGTGTCTTTTTTTTTTAAATGTCAAGATGGAAATAATGGGTCTGATGCTGAAAAATGTGCACCTATAAAGATAATTGAATGAATGTTCATCTCAAGGACAAAGAATCCTGCAAACCAGTTTATTATATGCCTGTAATAGGAACGTATGGTTATACCACAGTATTTCAAATATGCCTAAGCTACGAGTTCACATTTTAAAGTACTTATGTGACAGCTGAAGGGAAAAAAATCATATGGCATATGTTTACGTTTCAAAATAGTTCTCTTTTTAGAATTCATGAAAAGTTATCAGCGTTACGATTATGCCATTTCATGTCATTTACATAATTTGGTGCAATAATACTCACAAATGTTTGGATAGTGAACATTTTGATGGATATGAACAAATCCATACAGTGTCTTCTGTCTCTTTTATTTAACTTTGAAATTAAAGTAATGATACATTTGGTCATATCATCTAATAGCATCTACCAATTGATGAGAATGTATATTTTTACTCTGATCAAAACAGTAGCTATCTTTTCTTTCTTTCTAAAACAGAGGAGTGACCCTGTTGTGTACAAATAACTAAGAACATAGTATTTTGCATTGATTGCCTATTGGGCGGTTGAATAGAGAGAGGATGAATAATCCTTGGGTTTGTGCAGTGTTTACTGATATCATGTTATTGCTAAGCCCATTAACCTATTGTAACTATTTCACTTCTTGGCATAACCATTACGTATGTCCATTTGTGTTATCATGTTGGTGCTAGCTGGAACACCTCAGAACAGCCATACGCTGTACTTTATCAATGTGGATCATACTCGTTCACTCTGGTTAATGCTGGATTTTACCGTAGACACGCTAAAAGACGTTAAGCCTTACACTGCACTTGCAAGACTGTTGCTGTCGACTGTAAAAAAGGATGCCGATCTTCAACCATGTGTTTTATTTGGACAATAAAGAAAGCAAAATTATGTGTTTACTGACCTGACCAAAGCATAAACTGAAAGAGTGTATTTTGTTTTGCTTGTCATCTTTATGAAATGAACACTGTGATATAGTAGCATTATACCGCAGTGTTTTTTTTTTCATCTGAATGCTCATTCCAAAGATAGGTTACAGCCACTGTCTCACCCATTGATTTTTATTTGATGTACACTGCACTCAAGTGGAATCCAGCTGAATAGCAATGAGGAAGGTTCATATTAGATTTAAAGTCAGTTGGAAGACGTTTTAACTACAACTTTACAAATAAGTAGATTAAGCCTTTTAAAACATTGATGCACACAGTCCATTCATTCACACCACAGGCACTAAATCAACATCCATAACAATATATTATGAAATATATTCATACAGCAATGCCATAATCTAGAGATGGCATTTAAAACTATTCCTTTTCACTAGTTTTGTTAAGTTGTAGACCCACTGTTAAAGGGAAAGTTCACCCAAAAATGAAAATTCTGTAATTAATTACTCACCCTCAAGTCGTTCCAACCCATAAGACCTTGGTTCACATAAACAACGGAACACAAATTAAGATATATTTGATTAAATCTGAGAGCTTTCTGACCCTGCATAGACAGCAACGGTACTACCACGTTCAAGGCCCAGAAAGGTAGGAAGGACATTGTTAAAATAGTCCATGTGACATCAGTGGTTCAACCTTAATTTTATGAAGCTACGAAAATACTTTTTGTGCACAAAAACAAAAATGATGACCAACTATTTCTTCTCTTCTGTGTCAGTCAGTTCCGTGTTAGTAGCCGAACTATAACCCTTTAAATTCAGAGGGTATGCATTTGTCTGGATTAGCTGTTAAAAATAAAACAAAATAAATAACTCTAGGAAATATTTTGAGCAGACTGATTAGACTAAGGTTAATTCCCCACAAACAGTGGGCCAGTAGATTATGAAATATTAGCTCAAGCCTTATTACATAACATAATGTGGAACTGCAAGCGTATTGCAACATAGCAATTATAATAGTCTCAGCCATTCATTCCCTCAACAATCTTAAACAAATGCATTTTATGGATTTGAATAGGCTATGTATTTAAACAACATAAAGGTAATTCTTTAGGAACGTCTGATTATGCTCTTGCTGCTAACATTTTATCTGAACAATCCGGAAATTGCTTTCCCCCTCTTTTCCTTTTTCCTATTTTACTATCTTGGAACTGCAAGCGTATTGCAACATAGCAATTATAATAGTCTCAGCCATTCATTCCCTCAACAATCTTAAACAAATGCATTTTATGGATTTGAATAGGCTATGTATTTAAACAACATAAAGGTAATTCTTTAGGAAGTAATTCTGAGGAATATTATTGCAAGTCTATTAAGAACGTCTGATTATGCTCTTGCTGCTAACATTTTATCTGAACAATCCGGAAATTGCTTTCCCCCTCCTTTCCTTTTTCCTATTTTACTATCCCACGAGCTGTTGCAGACATCACACTGCATATTTACATAACAGAATGAACAGTATAGATACCATACTTTAACTCCTGTAATGAGCTGTGCTGAAACTTAGAGCTTAGCAAAGCCCAGCATTGAATTTACAGCATCATGTGGAGCAGATATATAAAGAGATTGCAGAAGTATAAAGACATAAAGACAGATGCCTAGTCAAACACTATAGTGTAAATACAACTAGAAATTGCATAAACGAAAATTCATGATTGTGCTGACCCATAGACTATACCACATTCAAGAAAATTTTGTTTTTGTTGCTACTGTGAAGATTTGTTGCTATTGTACATTTGTTTAGGCAAACATATTCCCTAAGAAATTAGATAGGATGCATACTGTGGGGCGCTTTCTGATAGTTAAGGGTGAAATTAATGCAGATTTTCTATATCATTAATTTATAGAAATTAATTTATAATTTTATATTATATAATTATAAAAAATTACAAATAATAATATACAAATAAATTAAATAAACAAAAAATATAAATAATAATAATAATAATATACAAATATGTAAAATGATTCATCTCAAGTATCATTCTCATTAAAAAATATATTATTAATCAAAGACAGCAACAGATGTCTGTCATATTTCTTATGTCCTCGTGTACATTTGAAGCAAAATTATTGTACAAATTTATGAACCAAGCCCTCTCGTCCAATCCGCTGAGGCAAAGACTCATTAATAGACAAGTGTCCGTGATTTGAACCAATAGGGTGCCAGGGGGCGTGGCGAGCCCCTCAGCCGGTCTGATAGGTCTGTCTGCTTTTAGCTTACTCACAGTAGAATGGCGGCCGCTGTCTGCGGTCCTCGCGGCTGTCCGAGGACCAATTCAGCCAAACCACACAAAGAACACCTGCGAAAAAGCCGGGATTCCCGTCACAGACAAGCAGCACTGTTGTTTCTCACAAATATATCATTGGACGGAAGACCGGTTTACAACCTAAGCAATGGAATCGCTGGCCCCAGGGAAGCCGAGAGCCGGTGTGTGGATGTCGGCGCGGCGGCGGTGACGGGTCTCCCGCTGTCAACAACCAGCAGCTACGGAACATTCATCCAAGTGTCATCCTCCATCAGCGGGGGAGCAGCGACCCCTCTACCGAGGACGAACACTTCCCCTGCTCCTTTGAGCCCTCCTCCAGCATTCAATCAAGGGAGCTGCGACGTTTTCACGGAGGATGGACAAACAGATCCTTTGTCAGTCCAGGCACCCCCGCTTTCACCGACCTCTGGACCGGCGAATCCGGTTTTAGGATCCAGTAAATCACCCGGCCAATTCCCGGGATCTAATCCTGTGCCTGATCCCCGCCAAAGGTGAGTTTTGTTTTTGTCATGCAGGTTGGCATAAAATGAAACGCGTTATGACATTTATTCAGCTGGTATTGTATGCATAAATTACACCATTCATAACACATATGGAGTGAATGTGTGATGCAACCTTCTTTTATAAAGGTGTTATCTGTTATAAACAATTCTAAATATTATGATTATGAAAGCTATATGTTTATTCCCAAATCGTATCAAGGTTTTGATTTTGTGGATAGAACGTTTATCTGGCTGTTGTTTACCAGTGTTTACATTCGATTATGACTCTTGAAGCAGTGTTACAAACAGTAGCCTACATTACAATACGAGAAACAAAACAATAACAGATCTATAAGGGGAATTACTGACTTCCGCCTTATTGTCTTCAACTTTCATTTTCATCTTTGAAGAGAGGTCTTGTTTTCTAGGCATGAATTTGACAGGAAATATTTCTGCGACATTTTTGATACCTGTTAAGATGAATAACGTTAGATCGGGGGAATCTCTGGTTTTGAATCCTTAACGGATGCCGTTCTTGTGCAGTGCTTTAAATGAAAAATAAAGCCAAAACCATAAGGTGTATCTGTAACTATTTTGTAAATCAGCTAACTTACATTGGTTTGCATCTCACGAGACATAACGTAACATGATCCATCTATTCTTGATATATTTTTGACATAAGGAAAATAATAATTTGCAGTTCATTAAGTGAGTCAGATTAATTCAGTAATTTATTTGCCTGATTAACTCGGTGTGTTCCAAACGGGGGATATCGCCCTCCGAAGGGCACTTCGGAGTGAAAACAATCATAGCCGCCATATTTTTGAAGTGTCGTTCCAAACCGAAGTGCTCAAAACTGGCCACTTCCAAGGGCCCTTCGGAATTAAGGATTGCAGATTCTTTGCATGATGATGACGCAGAAGGGCACTTCAAGAAACAGTTGTTTGGTCCCCTACACCAGTGGTTCCCAACCCTGGTCCTGGAGGCACCCCAACACTGCACATTTTGCATGTCTCCTTTCTCTGACGCACCAGTTTCAGGTCTTGGAGTCTCTACTAATGAGCTGATGACCTGAATCAGGTGTGATTGATTAAGGAGACATGCAAAAAGTGCAGTGTTGGGGTGCCTCCAGGACCAGGGTTGGGAACCACTGCCCTACACCCTTCAACCCTGTGAAGTTCTCACTCCGGAGGGTAAACCCTTTCATGGGATTAGGGCATAGAGATGAGCCCTTCTGAATGGAACGCAGGGTATAAGTGTTTTTGATTCAAGTGAAGCAGTCATTTGCTCGGTGGTGTGTCTATTTTAGTCGCGCTGCATGCACAATAATAAACGACTGATCATTGTCAATGCTTGATTATTCGCACACTATAAATCTAACTCACCCGTTATCAGTTTTATTTATTTTAGCTGTGTTGCTTACATCATACCAATGTTTTTACCTTTCTGTGATTTTTAATTGTAACAGTAGCAAGAGTGGTCAGGTGTTAATTTGCACTTTAACGTTCAGTCTTACAGTACTAAGTGGTATATAAAGTGGTGTACTGAAAAGTAGCTAAATAAACCAGCAGACAATGCATTTACAGAAAAGAATGTTATTTTAACAACATAAATTATTATACACAGCAGCAAGCCATCTGTACATAAAAAAACAACTCTTAATCTATAACTAACTAATTGAGGCATAATGATATTGGAATATACTAGCAAAGACCCCAAAGGTAGGCAAAGGTAAATAATGTTAAGCTGTTATTAGTACCAAGTTTATGAAACAAAATTGTTTTATTACAAAAAATATATACCCAGGAAAGTTATTTTTTAAAATGAGTAAGTCACACGTTTTACCATCTGCGCTACTGGAGCTGATGACTGTCAACTGTCTTTTGTATTGTTCACTATCCGAATCACAAGTTGGTGGGCGGAGTTAATGTGAATAGCCTCTGCCAACAAGGTGGGCTATTTGCACTTAGTGTAAATAGAAACTCCGAAAAATATCAAGCCATTTCATGTACTCTTGGGGGCCCCCTGGTGGCCACGGGGCCCTAAGCAGCCGCTTAGTTCGCTTATGCCTTGGGCCGGCTCTGCACTTAAGTTACTCATAATACTCATTCGTTTGTGAGTCAGACATTTCATGGAATCAGGATCTTAGATATTTACTGTAAGTCGTGTATATTTTTAATTCGTAATAGGAACAGACTCATAGGACTAATTTCTTCGATAATCGGACTACTGGGGCTGCGCTGTATGTTTTTTGATTCACAGAAAGAACCTTCTCACGAGAGTACATTCGTTCGGGAATCGGACTACTCAGGCCACGCCAAATGTTTTGTGATTCACTAAAGTGATCGAATGAGTAATTAATTAATGAGTCGGACTCCTCTGGGCAAAATTAAAAGTCTCGGTGATAAAAATGTGTACTACTGTCTGATGTAACAAATTAATAATTAAGAGTAACAGAAGTGCTTGACAGTTATATGCAGTGAGAGTGAGCTCTCAGACTTTAAAAGTCATTTGTAACTGTGACAACAGAGATAGTGATTAGGAAAACCCATAGGACAGATGGAAGGTTTGTATGATAAGATATCACTGCTGTCAGAGTAGATAATAAAGGGGCTGCTGATTCAGTCAAAGAAGTATAGCCTAAAGGCCATCAACCAGTCACAACAAGCATTATCTGCCTGTAGGTGATGTTACTCATGTGAACCGAGCCTCATGATCTCGCTGCAGTACATATGCACATCATTTCCTGTTTTTTTTTTTTTTGTTGCTTGCCTTTCATCTCTCTCCTGTTCTGTTCCCCTCACCCTCTCATCTTTTTATGTAAGATCTGCTGATGGACTGATGCTGGACAAGTGACCTTTAAGCCTTAATTTATAGTCAAGAGCCAAAAGATTAAGCTTTTGCTTCAGTTTAATCCATCACAGTTTTTCTCTAAGCGTATACAAATTGAAGCAAGCCACATGTATTTATCTCTAAATTATATTTAATTCTTGTTGCAGGACACGTAACCTCTCTGGGTCTCCAGGGCCAAAGGTTTCCAAGAAGGTGCATTTCATCAAGAATATGAGACAATATGACACTCGAGGGAGCAGGTGAGTTGGCGGGTGTGATGGGAAATATTTTCCCTGTGAGTAGGAGCTGTATTTGTTTTCTTTTTGAATAAATAGTCTGTATATGCAAGATCAATTTAGACCAGGGGTCTTTAAGCTTTTTCAAGAAAAGGAGACTTGGAGCACAAATAAAACAGATATGCCTTTTGAGCCTGACCAATAATAACATGCATATACTGTAGTACCATTGTAATGTATTTACAATTTTACATACTTTATGATTCTTGCATTACAAAGCCCATTTAATTATTATGTAAATCATTAAGTCAAATTAATACATTACATATTAATTTTAATACATTTTTTGAACGAGGACAATAAAACATTTAATTTTAGCTTCTTAACTTAAGTTAGTTAAGTTAGTCAAGTTAGTCCTTCCTAGATGTAGATCAATTTGTTGAATGCATTTTTATCCCATTTTATTTCATATAATTTTTCATAAAAAAAATTATTTTAAACAATAATTGGTTCTCTGTTGAAGACCCCTAATTTAGGCTGTTCCTAAATTAGCACTTTCTATCAATTTTAATTATTTGTTTGTTTGTTTGTTTTACATTAATCTAATCTTGTATAATGTATTTATTTTATTTTTAATTTTCAAAAATGATTTTAAAATATAATTGGTCTTCTGTTAGGCCAATCCTTTATTAGTAGGGATGCACCGATATGAAAATTTTGGCCGATACCGATAATTCTTTATTTTTGAAAGCCGATAACCGATATGTTGGCCGATAAATCTATATCCAATTTTTTATATACTTTTTGAGAGCCTGATTACAAAAAAGGTCTCCTCATTAAAAACCACATCCCAAACACTTCAACATAAGCAGCCTAGTTTGAACGGTGTACGTTTTAAAAATAATTTTACTCTCCCATTACCAAATTTAGTCATAAAAAAGTCTTACAAATAAATAAAATAATGCATAAATAATGCAAACAAGTCATTGGACATCATTACACGTGTAAAGAATCAAAATGAATGCGCCATAGATCAATAAAACGGAATAGCCTCTGCACGGACAATAATTAAATGATTTTAATTACTAAACCATATTGTTGATGAAAATAATAAGAGAAAAATACAAGTGGTTGTTGTTATTAATAATATATCAATGATTTTGAAAAAGTAAAAAATTAATACCACTGTTTTAAATAGCAGCCATTGAGCTGCAGCTCAAGCTGAAGCTGAAGAGCTGAATGAACAAGGTAAACTGAAGCGTTTTGCTGGCAGCTTATTTAACTCAAGGAAATGCATCCTGAGATTAATATTAATACAACATAAACATAATATTACAACTTATATATGTACAAAATGACGCAGTTATTGCATGCTATAGTCAGAATGTGTGATCCTGTTGTGGATGCGCTCTTCCCATAACAACGCGCTGAAACACGGCAACTAAACCCAAAGAATTCACAACGTTTTATTATAATAATGTTCTCATTAGAATGTTATATACACGACATTCCCAATCATAGTTATTAATGTTGTGCACTGCTGTTTGAGCTGCGTGTGCTGAGCTAAAGATGATCACCGGTAAACTGAAGCGCTCTTTTAACTTAACCAAACGCATTCTATATGAGATAAATCAGATATACATCAAATAAACACAATATTACAACGTACAATTGCACAAAAGGCTGCAAACGAACAGCGCGCATCTGAAGTGTCTCTGAAGGAAATAATGCATTATTTATCGGCTTTAAGATATCGGCCAAATTTTCTTATCGGGCCGATACCGATAACAGAAAAAATTAGCATTTATCGGCCGATACCGATATGGTGGCCGATATATCGTGCATCCCTATTTATTAGCACTTTCTTATCAACAACTTCTGTAGAATGGAGGTGGGCTCATGTCAGATGGGGTGAATATAAAAAATAGATGCTGGTGAAGTGGATGCTGGACTGTTTCCTCAGGTAGTAAAGTTCTTTGTTATATAACTGCAGTGTGCTCATGCTAAGTGAGACAGACTCTGTGATTCCTTAGCTAACTTAATAACTGGCATAAGTACTCACTGGGATAACTCACTTAGGTTCTTACACAGACGAAATGGGGGATAGATGTGTCTGCCTACATGAGGAACAACTGGGCTGAATTAAATAAATCTGAAATGGAACCTTATATAGCAATGGCATCTTCTGAAAGTAGAACTGCACCGTGGCAAGAACCATTAAAATGTAATGAAACTCGGTTACGTAAGATAAATGTTTTCCTCCCTGATTCCTTTTCTTTCTCTTTCTAATTTACTTTCCTCTTCTGGTAAAAAAGTGCCATAAACCCATTCGGCTCTTTTGACTTTTGAATCCTGCATTTTTTTTCTATTGTACTTTTTTTTAAATAGCTTTATAAAAGATTATGACCTATATACAACCTATGACTTATGCTGGGTACACACCACAAGATAATCAGGCTGATTTTGGGCCGATTTCTCCCCTTCCGACAATCCTAGGTAATGTCCCGATTATCTTGGTGGTTCTAAAGATTATTTGATCAGATTTTCCTGTGGTGTGAGGTGTGTTAAGAGTGACTGAATCTGCTCGGAAGAACGTCAGAGGCGCCCCGATCAGAAATCCTGATGTGGTGGGGGGGAGGGGGGGGAATGTATCTTCACATTTTGAAGATATTTTAGTGTGTACCCAGCATTATATACAACAATTAAAAGAACCAAAGACTTAAACTACTTCAGTCTGTGTGCAATTGAATTCATTTAATACACGAGTTTCACAATTTGAGTTGAATTACTGAAATAAATGAACTTTTCCACGACATTCTAATTTATTGAGATGCACCTGTATATAGGTAATGAATTTTACACAGGTTAAGGAAATAAAGACAAACATACAGTGCAGGTGTTATTTTCTGATATGAACTTGAATATTATGCTGAATTTTACTCCCTTTTTTCACTCCACATGCATTACACCATCAACCATGAAATCACACCTTCACTCATATGCACACCCATATCCCCAGCCTCATGACATCAGCAGTGATGTAATATGGACCCGACTCATTGAGCACATCCTGTGTCACAAACTGCAGTCCTGTTAATTGCGATGCTGTTCAGACCCCTGGGAAATGTGACGGGGTTTGTTGTAATTAGATTTGGTCCTGCTGACCAATCTGCGGTGACATAGAAATCTACAAGCTGCTTTAATATTTGGATTTGTGGTTGAAGAATGGATTTACTTTTTATTTATTATTTTTATTCATTTTGTCACCAATGGCATTCCAGGGCTGTAAGATCTCCCATTTGCTTTGTGCTGCATGCTGTTGTGACCCATATGCACTTGTTGTGGTGTAAACATGGCTGGTGTACTGTGATGGTTTGATGTTTAGGTGACTGATGTTGTCTGTTCTGTGTGCACTTGCCATCTGTGTCCTGCAGGGTTGTGCTGATTTGTGCCAAGAGATCCCTGTGTGCTGCTTTCTCTGTATTCCCCTATGGAGAGAGTTATCACATCAGGTACAAAGCCACCACAGTCAGCCAAACAACTCATTTCATATCATGCAAACCCATACATGAGGGATGGACAAATCAGCTGTTCTTTTCTTCTTTCTTCCTTTTTTTTTAAGCCTGGTTGATGAAATGTTATGTTCCAAAATAAATGATTAATTTGTAATGGAACAAAATATCTTGAGTGATGTTTCACAAAGCACTGATGTTTTTAAATGCATTCTTTTTCTGTACACTACTGTTGAAAAATGTGGGGTCAGTAAGATATTCTTTAAAGAAATCAACACTTTTATTCAGCAAGGATGCATTAAATTGATGAAAAATTACATAAAGACGTTTATAAACGAATTGCTTCAAATGAATGTTCTTTTGAAAAAAAAAAAAAAACTAAACCAGGTTTCCACAAAAATATTTGTTTGTTTTTAACATGTTTTTGAAAACTAAATTAGCATATTAAAATGATTTTTGAAGGAACATATGACACTGAGAACTGGAGTAATGGCTGCTGAAAATTCAGCTTTGCCATCACAGGACTAAATCACAAAATATATTAAAACAGAAAACAGATTTTTAAATTGTAGTAATATTTCTCAATATTACTGCTTTTACTGTATTTTTGATCATATAAATGCAGCCTTGGTGATTATTTATTCAACATTAAAATCTTTTAAATTTATCATACTTTATGATCTTCAGTTTACCTCACACTCTTTAATGGTGTCATATCATGTGGGATCAAATTTTCCTTGATCATTTAAAAATAAATTGATGTAGTCAGAAAATATGACGCAAGTTGTAGAACTTGAAACATCATCCCCAGTCCAAAAAGCGTTTTTCAATTTTTTTGCTGCACTTTTCAGTGTGGATTATTTTCTGAACAGAATACATAGGATCAATGTAGCTCGACAGAAAATCAGCAGCATGTGTCTTAGAGGAGCAAAGCACTTTCACACATTTGAAAAAAGGGTCTGTAAAATTGTCATGAAAAACTAATTAAAATTTTTACATGCTGAAAAAACAACATTTTAAGTGGACTTCTGGGGGGAAAATTAAACAATAAAAATATATGATATAGCTCCATTAATGTAAGGTTTAGATGTACAATTAAAATTACATGCATGTGTCATTCAGCTTTGTGCAAGTGAGTGATTAGATTTTGGTTTTGGCAGTCCAGAGATCACAGTGATTTGTCCACCTGTTATACATCCAATCACATTTTTATTTTTATTATTATTTTTTTTTTAGTCAATGTGCTTTATCACTTCTTAAAGATGTGCTGCTGTATCATTTTAAGCTTTAATATAATGGTGTACTGTATTTACAAATGGACCAGATTATAAGCAGTCTACTGAGGCCTGATGCTGGTATATTAACAGCGTCTTTGCACCAGACAAACAGCAATAAGACCGAGGATTCTTTATCTCAATATCTGAATAAAACAGATTATTTCAGGGAAGTGTTATTAAATTCTGACTATTAATATTTTATCAACCCCCTGCAGTGACTCTAAACTAGAAGCCCAGAGACAGAGACACTCTTCTGGTGGTGGAGTTGATATGGTCCCTGGACTGGAGGGAGTGGAGGTGGACTTTGGAAAGGTATTTCTCTAAGAAGATCTCAATGATTATATGTGCCTTAGAAACCTTCTTGTTGATAGCTCTGGATTGTTTTGCATTGCAGACAGTATCATATGCCGGTTTTCTGCTTCCAACTAATGCCTTGGTCAGGCAGAAGAGCAGCGGCCCACCTGACATCAGTACAGCTCAGATGCCAATGTCTCGCAACCGTATTAATGGGCAGAAGAACTTCACCCCTTCACGAATCAACAGCACAGTTGGACAGGATACTGGTGTGTTACCTGGTCAGTTACATACATTATGTACAGTAAAAACAATAATATTGTGAAATATTACAATTGAATAATTTTGTATTTTAATATATTTTAAATTGTAATTTATTCCGGGGATGGCAATTACTCCAGTCTTTAGTGTCACACTATCCAAATACGCTGATTTGCTGTTCAAGAAACTTGTTTTTTTTATTATTAGCAATGTTGAAAACAGTTGTGCTGCTTAATATTTTTGTGGAAACTTTGCATTTTGTTTCAGAATTCTTTGATGAATGGAAAGTTCAATAGGACAGCATTTATTTGAAATGGGCATCTTTTGTAACGTTATTTATGAATGACTTAACTGTCACTTTTGATAAATATAATGCATCCTTGCTGAGCATAAGGATTAATTTCTTTAAAAAACAAACATGCTTAATGTTGTAACTCTTGCTAGGTGTGGACGAGCTATCAGACTATGACCCCGACTTACTCAGTGACCCGCAGTGGCCTTGTGGGAAGCACAAGCGAGTCTTAATTTTCGCATCTTATGTGGTAAGCTCCTTGATTGAAAAGTTTTAACCAACACAGTTTCAATAATCTCTTCTAGCATGATGCCAATGAAAAGGATTTGCAAGGACATCTGAGTTGCACTACAGCGTGATAGTGATTCATAATCCTTGAACCCAGCTTATGACCTATATCAGATCACACCAGCATGTCATATGATAACCCTAAGGGCTCAGTATGGTCTAACAGCTACAGACATGAAGTATGCTATCATATGTATCACAGCTGACTAGGCTTTAGCTGTAAAAGCTGAATACTGGCAGCCACAATTGTGTTTTAGTAGCCATAAAAACCCATACTTTTTCTTGACTGTCCTTGTCCCCTCCAGGCAACTGTTATTGAGTATGTGAAACCATCCGACCTGAAGAAAGACATGAACGAGACATTCAAGGAGAAGTTTCCTCACATAAAGCTGACACTCAGCAAAATCAGAAGGTGAAGTCATTTTTATGTAAAATAAAATGGTTAAATACCTTCTAGTGCTGTCAATCGATTAATCGCATCCAAAAGAAGTTTTTGTTTTCATAATATGTGTGTGTACTGTGTTATATTTATTATGTGCGTAAATATATATAAATAGACACACATGCATGTATATATTTAAGAAAAATGTAGTGTTTATATATTAATTATATTTATATATATATGTTATATGATAAGTGGGAGAACTTGCACAATTGGTGGCTGACTAAATACTTTTTTTCCCCACTGTAAATATATACATGTAAATATTTTCAAAATATATATACATGCATGTGTGTGTATTTATATATACATAATAAATATACACAGTACACACATATATTGTGTAAACAAACTTTTATTTTGGATGCGATTAATCTTGATTAATCGTTTGGAAGCACTAGTTGCTTTGGACCACGTCTAAGAAAATTTAATTATGCATGTTTATTTCTTATATTTCTATGTTTAGATTGTTAGATAGTTGCCTTTACCATAATCTTTAAAAGCAAATCTCAAAAATAATATTTATTTTTAATATTTATTCAGTTATTGGCTACAGCTTGAAAATTATTATCGACTTATTGCATCAGCCAGAAATTTACTGAATGCTTCCATAGTTTAATAGAAAATATGTGAACACAGGAAAGAAATAGTGCCCATGAATCTATTTTTATGGGGTCTTTGGCACATAGCACTATCGCAATCACATTTTAGATTTGGCTGAATGAATTAACATACAACATGGGCATGTTGTAAATTGATCCTAATTAAGTTTACAAACTTCTTTTTCTCCTCTTTTTTTAATGTCCACCACAGTTTGAAAAGGGAGATGCGCTCAATGAGCGAGGAGTGTGGCCTACAGCCGGTTACCATAGCTATGGCTTATGTTTACTTTGAGAAACTGGTTCTGCAAGGGAGGCTGAACAAGCACAACCGAAAGCTGGTGTCTGCTGCTTGCGTTTTATTAGCTGCCAAGATCAGCAGCGACCTCAAGAAACAAGAGGTCAAACAACTGATGGATGTAAGTTTCTTACCGATTCGGATATTCATTTAATTCAGAGACTTAACCGTTCTTTATAGGTATATGCTTCATGTGTTCTTGGTTAATATGATTTATGCACTGACTCTCTCTCTCTCTCTCTCTCTCTCTCTCTCTCTCTTCCGCCCTACCTATTTCTTCTCTTTTTTGATCTGTCTGACCCTTAACAGAGGTTGGAGGAGCGTTTCCGAATAAATCGCAAGGAGTTGATTTCCCTGGAGTTCACAGTTCTTGTTGCTTTGGAGATGGCACTCTACCTCCCAGACAGCAAGGTCATGCCTCACTATCGCAGACTGGTGCAGCAGAGCTGAATTGGAGTGGGCCCTTAAAGGGATAGTTCACCAAAAGATGAAAATTCTGTCGTCATTTACTCGCCCTGATATTGTTTCAAAACCTGTATGACTTAATATGTTTTGCTGTATGTTTCTCAGAACAAAGTAAGTTGTATAGGTTTGGAACAACATGAGGGTGAGAAAATGATGACAGAATTTTCATTTTGGGGTGAGCTGTGCCTTTAAGAGATGCCTGTATGCGAGAGAGATGACGCTCTTTTGGCAGTTCTGGAAGGTTATATGTATTATTTATTGATTAAATAGATCAGTGGAATTTTCTCTCAGCTATGTCCAGTGTTCTCGGCACTCCATCTTCACTTGTTTACGTCCTTCATAGAACTGATTTTATAAATCAGACACATTTAGGGAGAGGCTTACTCTAAGCACTGATCATTTTTATCCATTATTTCTTACTTTTTTTAATACCACAAATGCTTATTAACCACCATTTATCAAAGCTTTTTCTTAAAGCACCACTTTATTTATGCAATATTTTATTTATGGACCTTCATTTTATTAGAATTCATAATTTATGAATACTGTATATATTTTTGGGGTATGTGTGGCATTCCGATGCGTCTCCAGCCAGGCACTCTATGTTAGAGATGACATTTAACGGGCACATTAATTGTGCTTTTATATCTCACCCTCCTTTATTTATTTATTTATTTATTTTTAAGTCATCTAACATTTACTAACTAGACTGTGGTTTAACAGTGATATGATGTTCTTTGAGACCCACCGTAATGCATTTTAGGTAGCGTTGAATGTAAAAACGTCTTTTGAATATGTGAGTGCCATTTTAAACAGTTAATCAAATGTTAAGAGAAACTGAATCATTTACCACTTGTTTTTTCTTTTAGATGCAAGTGTTTTTGAATGTCTTGACTTAAGTCTTGTTATGGTTTTCTCAGTTCCAATGCACAGCTGTGACAATTACAGTGATGAAATGTTTAATTTTTAGCATCCTACTGTGTCCGGTTTTTCTTATGTGCAACACTGATTGAGCACGTTTCAAACGGTACAGTAGGTTGTACAAATAACTCCACATCTGTATATTAAGCTGTTGTGTATTTGGTCACAGGAGAACGCCACCTTCTTGACCGAGTGAGTCTGTTTTGTGTTGTGCAGTGTTGAGTATGACCTAACCTTTCTGAATCTTCTTGGTTAGTGTTCATACAATATCGCCGTTTCTTTGATCTCCGATATTATTCTTTGGAAATGTTTATACACCATAGGAGTGGCATGTTTACTTTCAGAACCTGGACAGTATCACAGTGTGCAGCATTACCAGAAATATGAAACATCTGATTTCTGTAGCCCATTTGATTTTAGATTTTTTTTACTGAGAAGCAGAAGCACATAGCCACTATCTAGTGCTTGTTTATTTTTTTAACATGATGGTTCTGTATGGTGCATTTGCTTCTTTCCCTCAGGGATTCAGACTGGTCAAGATTCACATTGCTGAGACAAATGATCAACTACGAGAGGGTAATTGAATGGGAGAGAATTGTGGGTAATCATACATCACTATTTCTTCAAAGTGTAAATATTCACTGAGCGTTGAAGAATTAAGTGCCTTTTCTATTACATTTGTCAGTATGGTTCTGCTGCCATACTGTTTTTCACACTTCTTGTCTCTTTAATCTTTTTGATACCGAGTAATCACACACCTTGACATGTTATGAATATGACTGTAGATCTGGTTGGAAAACCATGTGACGTGTTGATTGAAATCTCACTGTATGTGAATACATTCACTCCTGTGATACTGTTGTGGAAGCTTTGAGGATGTGGAACGGTACAAGCACTGTGAGGGAATCCTGTGACCTTCTGCATGAGAATACTGTGTTTTATGGTGTCTATGAATTTCTTCCAAAAGCTTTATTTTTCAAAATTGTCTATTTTAGCAGTATGTCAGAATGATGTGAGGATAGTTGGCACTACTTGATTAAACGCCAACGGGGTTAACACTGAACCAAAAACCACTGTATGTTGGGGTTTATTGGGAGGTGTGAGCTAGGCTTTAGTTTAGACTGAACTGTTCACAGGGTCCTATGTGCTGTGCTGTGTAGATGCTGTCTTTGTTGTTTTTTCTATTCGCATTTATAAAGATGTTTTTAATTGTTTCAGTTGCCTGTGGAGTTTTTGTCAATTTATACACTAAAAAACTATTTACCTGTTGATGCAAGTTTCTTTATTTGGAAAAGGGTTTTAAACAGTAAAAGACCTCCTGATTAAAATAGAAATGTGAAATATCTATAGTTCGGACACAAAGGTAGTCGCACCCCAATGCCAATAGTAAAGCTAGAAGTAGCTATGTGAGGCCGTTCAAACGGAGAAATGTTGAAAGCACATTAAACTTGGCATATTCACCCTAATTAACCCCATTTATTTCGTAAATTTAAAATGTACATCATAAAACTGAAAAAAAAAATAAAAAAAATCACACTGTGACAGAATTAAGTGTTTAAAGGAATAGTTCACCAAAAAAAATCTTATTTTTATTCACCCTCATGTCATTCCAAACCCATAAAACTGAATAATCCTTGAAAAACAAGTCCAGGTAACCAAAACGTAAAACATCCGAAAGTGTCCTTATGAATCAAGTAGTTTAATCCAAGTCTTGTGAAGGGATATGATCACTTTATCTAGATTTTCAATTGAGTAACAGAAACCTCTCAGGTTTCATTAAAAATATCTACATTTTCAATGACAGAATTTTCATTTTTGTGTGAAACATCCCTTTTTAAAAAAAACAGATTACCTTTAACAGGACATTTAGCTTGACAGCATGATGCTCTGGAAGCTCTACAGTGAGAAGAAAGTTCAACTGATGAATGCAGAGAAGCAGCTCATGTAGAGAGTTGCCTAATCTAAACTCATGTCCTCATCTTTCTTGTCTCCTCCTTCATTCGACTTGCCTTCACCTTCCATGGCCTTGGCAAATGCTTCCACATCTACAACAAAATAGAGCAAAAACAGCCATTTTATCCTTTGTAAGAATGTTCTTTTCTTTCTTAAAATCTCAGCTTTTTATTACATGATTTATGTAAATCTAGCCAAAAACATGTTGGTGCCCAACCCTGTTCCTGGAGATCTATCTTCCTGCAGAGTTCAGCTCCAACCCTGATCAAACACACCTGAACCAACTAAATAGGATCTGAAGGAGCGCTTGATAATTACAGACAGGTGTGTTTGATAAGGGTTGGAACGGAACTCTGCAGGAAGGTAGATCTCCAGGACCAGGATTGGGCACCCCTGGTCTAGATACTTTAGAGTACAGCCAATTTTGCCCTTGTAAGGACATTCTGTATAAACCACAAACTTATCAGAAGGATCTCTGGGAGAGAGGAATGTATATGTTATGTGAAAGTATAAACAAGTGTTTAGAAATGGAATGAACCAGATCAGTTTGTGTACATTTGAAATATAATGACCTCCTTTATTGGCCGCCTCTACGGCTTCTGTAGGTAATCCAAACTGATTCAAAGGCCCCAACTGCCCTGATGCCAGTGCACTGCTGAATATACTCATAGCCTACACAACCCAGAAAAAGTGCAGATGAATATTAGAAGATATATTCTAAAAATAATCTGGTCCAAGAGCAGTTATGCTAACAAACTTGTCTTGAAATTAATTTACTAAGTGTACACAATTGGAGATGCACCAAAATTTCATCAACTGAAAATAGAAAAAAAAAATGGTTTGGCCAAATCATTGACTGAAACCATGACATTTAATTAGCACTTTTCTGATGATGCGTTTTGACTCTGTCTGTGCCTATTTCGTACACAAAATGTGGACTAGCTACAGGTAAACAGGTCAGCAGTGAGGATGCACTTTACCTGACCAAAAATGATGCTAGAGTAGCATTATGTAAACTGTTTTTAGATGAAATATCAAAATGTTGCTGAAGAATTTTTACTACAACTGGTTTATCACCTGAGAACAGGACACCCTGAACAACAAACAGTTCAATTACCCAGTTAAATAAATTTAATTACCCTGTATTTTATTTTATTTTCATGCTCAGTTTCTGTCAACATGAAAATTTTGGGTGTTTTGATCAAAAAAAATTAATTTCTCTACATCACTATATGCAATAGTCAAACCTGCTGAAACTGCGGCGAGGTGAGAGTGTTTTGAAGTTCTTCTGTGCTTTGAAGAAGGGATTCTCCAGATGGGAGGTACGGCAGGAGCCTCTGCTGCACTTCTGCATTAGCGAGAATTGGGGCCATGACCTCAGGGGTCAAAACACTTGCAAGGTCCCCTGAACAAAGAAAGTTGACATGTCAGCATGTAATCCAAGGTTTTCCTAACAGAGAACTAACATCATGATCTCACCTCCTTGTCCTGCTGTAGGCACATTCATTGTAGCTAAGATGCTCTGCAGGTCAGCAGAGAGAGCAGGGCCTGCAGGTGTGCTGGGTGCGGGTGAGGCTGTGACTGTTGCAGATGGACTTATGAGTGTGCTTGGAACTTGGGAGGAGCCGAGGCGCGTGGGGGCTGAGGTGGATGATGGAGTGGCGGCAGTGGACTGACTACGAGAGCTAAAGATGAAAGAAGAATATTTCAGTTGTCACTGGATTAAGTACAATCTTCCATAGCCAAACTATTACTGGTTGTTACCTGGAAGATGAGCTGCTAGTAGCTGGAACTCCACTTCCTAGCAGGCTGGCCAGACCTGGTCCTGCCAGAGCTCCCAGACCCCCTGCAGACCAAACAAAAATTCATGATGTTACAAAGATAGGCATCAGCCAAGAGATAACCTTGTAAAAATATGTCTGGGTTCATGTACTTTATATATGGATCATATTAATTTGAGATGAAATTTGATTATAAGATGATACAAGGGATCAAGGTTTTGCTAGTAAGAATGGGCCAGTTAGATTCTGTTGCAAATGCAAAAATGCATTTTTGGCATAGCTGACATTCATTCAAAAGTAGCTTTTTTATTTTATTAATTTCAGTTTTAATTTTATTTTTTTGTTTAAATTTCAATCATTTAATTATGTGTGTTTGTTATTTTATTAGTCTGTTTTTAAATATTTATCTTTAATTTATTTTTTATTTCAAACTTTGAGTAATTTTAGTACTTAAACTTGTTTATTTCAGTTTTCAATTCAGATTTTTAGCCTTTTTTAAACATATCTAGTATTTCTAATAATATCTAATATTTACATATTTTTAAATTTGATTTTACTTCAGCTTCATTTCAATTACCAAACACGATTTTAATAGATTTTGTTAACAATACTGTCACAGAGAGAGAAAATAAAGCATCATAATTACTCACCTAGTCCACCGAGTCCAGTTGGTCCTATGAGTTGCATTAGTTGGTTGTGACTCATATTATCAAGAAGACTCTGAAGGCCACCTTCACCTGGAGAATAATGTTAAAATATCAGTTGCAAGACATAATTTTCAACAATTATTTTTCTTTACAACATTCAAGCTTTCCACTATGATCAATACTAAGAACTCAAAGTGTGGGTGTGCCAAGTTTATTGTAACAGAAAAAATACACACTTCAGCTTTAAGATGAGTGTTTAGAAAGGGTGTCAGTGCATTGGACAAAAATACTTTAGAAATACCTCCAAGAGCAGACAGCTCATGGCTGCTGCCGCCTCCACTCCCCAGAGTGCCAGGTATTGGTGGGTTGTTGAGGTATTCATTCACTTTCCTGCAGTACTCCTCATCTTTATCTGTCTTAGGCTCCTGAAAGGTCAAATAGGGGTGATTGCAGAAGATGTATTTCAGGTAATATTTACAATACATTTTTAATGAGCAATATTAGATGCCAGAAGGCTCTCAGCCTGGCATACCTGCAACCAAAAGAAGAGTCTTTTGGAGCCAGCTTTAAACTTAAGCACAAAAACACGGCCCGTGGTGCACTGATTGACCCTCTTGAACTGACAGTCATCAGGAAAAATGATCAGGTCCTTGTAAAAGGAACAATGAAAATATTACTATTTTTAAGATCAGCATTACAAAGGAATTTGGAATATTCAAAGCTGTTTATATGAGCGTGTACTAACATCCTCCACATTCCCCGTGGATCTGTCCTTCCAGCAGAAGTGGATAAGCGAATCGTCTGTCTGCTGAATGTACACAAGTCCTTTGCGCTTATCCGGGGTCACGGTGCTGCCCTTCAGGGTCATTTTTCCAGCACGGAACTCTACCAGGTATTTGCTTGATGAGCCCCAGGATCCAGACACCAAGCTAGGAAACAGAGCTCCAGACGACATCTGTAGCAACAAAGCCAATTTATCCCAGGGAGGGAAATTACAATGTTTGTGCAGCTAAATA